AAGTATGCCTTTGCGATAGTCTTAATACCCCATTTTCTTCTATTTCGGTGAATTTTGATTCCTAAAACCAATGACGCTTCACCAAGATCATTCACATTGAAACTTGAGGACAAAACTCCTTTTTCTCCAATGACAGATTAACATTACCACTAGTGAGTAGAATGTCATCTATTCACAAGATCTGCAAAATGAATTTTCCATTCTTGAACTTCGCATATACGCTATTGTCCTTTCTCATTTTTCTTTAAAACCAAAACTTTCTTATTGTTTTCATCAACTTCAAATACTACCGGCTGAGCGCACCCGATCAGGGCGCGGATCAAGGGCCCAATTGCCCGTTGGACCAACTGGTGGAGATCATCCTAACAGACAGGGTGGACGCCGCGGACGTAGCGCGCGCACCGCGTGTGCACCCACACGCTGCACTCGTCGCAGCTGACCATCTTCTTGCCGTCGTCGAACGTAACGCCACAGCAGGAGCATTCCACCGTCCACGAGCCGTCCACCCAGTCATCGGCGGGGTTAGGGGCGGGGATGGGGGCCGCCCCTGCCGCCACCATGGCGAGATGGGTCTGCAGCGACTTCGGGCGGTGCAGGCGGCCGCCCTTCATCGGCGGCGAGCGGGGGAACGACAGCTCAATTCACGGGGGACCCCTGGGCGCTGCTCGCCGCCGACACCTCCCGCTCCTCCGACACGGCCAAGTGCCCCTCCACGGAAGCAGCGCCACCTCGACGAGCTCCAGGACGCCACGGCGCTCCGACGGTGCGGGAATCGCGACCTGGCGGCGCGCGCGGAGGGCTGGCCCTCGCCTTGCTCACCAACGCCGCATTGCGCGCTGAGGCCGCCGCGCTCTCGTCGTCCTCGGGCGTGTGTACGCCGGGGCCGCTGCTGTTACCAGCGTCGACGGCAACTGCTGCCTCTCAGTCGCGGCAAGACAGAGGGTCGTTCGCGGCGGCCGACAATGCGACGGGTCAAGGGGTGTGGGGCGGTAAGGGCCTCGGTGGCGCGAGGTCGTGTGGAGGTCATGACAATGGCGCCACCACCGGCGCGGAGATGGGCAGTGGAAGAAGAGGAAGGGCGACGGCGGCACGTGGAAGATTGAGGCGCGGAGGCAGCGCGACGGTTGGGGAGTGAACGAGCGGCGCGTACCGACTGCTCGATGAAATGCCAACAAGAGAGACAGGGGAGGTAACGTCACCCAATTCCAGACGAGAGGTGACCATATCTATCTATACCTCCTACCAAACACAATCTCTGCGTCTGTTCGGTACATCGGCACGGGCGCGCACACACGCGACGCGGCATCGGCACGGGCTCGATCGAGGCGGAGAAAGAAAAGGCGATACCATGCCATACCAGCGCATACACAGACGCCGGGGGGCACGGACTTTGGCGGCCCCGGTGGCAGGGGCGGAAAAGCGCGATCGCGTGAGGCGAGGCCACCTGCATGCATTTCGTTGCGTGACTGACCCCTGGCCGGCTGGCCCTGACCTTCCACCAGGGAAGGCTCCAGCCAGAGCGCGCGGGCACGTACCGTCGCCGTGCCACAGCTAGCGTAGCGGCTACCGGCTGCCTACTCGTACAGGTACAGGCTAGCCACGCGCGTCCGCAGTCCGCACCCCGCAGGCAAGGCATGTTGGGCGCCTCGGGATTTGTGGTGGGGAAGGATCTGTCTCGGGGAGGCTCTGCGTTTACTGCCTGTCTTTATTCGCCTTGTGACTGCCGCCTCGCCGCATGTTGGCTCAACGTCTTTTCATGCCGGCGCCACTGGGCCGGGCAGGGGCAACAATGGGCAATGGCAGTGGCAGCGCGACTCCTGTGACTGTTCATTGTTGTTGCCTGCAGCGGCTGTTTCTTCGCCTTGGGAACCACCACTTCACGGTGCTTTGCTCTTTGTCTATGGCTAGCTTAGCTACCAAAGGCAGCCGGAACGCTAAACTTGTGCTGCAGCGGTTAACTTTTTCAACGTTCGTACTGCGGAGTACCCTACTTTGTAAGTACTACTATGGCTGTATGGGCAATTGACTAGCAATCTAGCATGGCCATCGTTTCCCTTTTCTGAGTGCGGTAGAAAGAGGAACAGGCAGAAGTACAGAGGAACTCGCCTCTTGGTTCAGGGGGTGTTCGGCTGGTATGGTTGTGGAGGAATTTGGATGGTTTGGAGAAATTCTAGAGGAATTTGTGAGAGGAAAATACTGTTTCGGATGAAAAAAGAAGCGGATCAAAGCCGGGTTTTAAAGGGCACGCGAATGGTTCGCATTTCTCGCAACCACGGAGCGAAAAATGAAGAGCACATACCAGATACTGCTGTGTGCGCTCCGTTCTGAATCTAAGCGTATGATTAGGTTTGATTGATGGAGAGCAGACATTTTTTTTATCAGTATATAACAGCATTAGATACAGTGTCACACAGGTGTATATGGAAATAAACTGTGAAAATTCTCGAGTTCACTGACCCAAATGGCACCTCTGCAGCGCCGTTTAAACAGCCTGCACTCCTAGTATCCTACGACCTGATAAGAATCGAACTGGACAGATAATTGTTTCTTTGGTTAATGTGTTAACCTGGAGCACATTTACTACTTTTCAGGATGCTGGCATCATCTGAAGCCACTTCAGATAATTGTTTCTTTTCACCAAATCAGGTTCCTTAACATGCGTAAACGAGATTTGGTGCCTCAACAAACAAAAGGTATAGTCACAAACAAAAAATTTCAATCTCACGCTGATTTACATCATTGGATGTTCTGTGTAAGTACATAAAAATATAGTTTCAGAAGTTCAGGTGCTTCAATTTTGTTCAATAAAAGAGAGAGCAATCTGGATCTACAATCTTCGGTACCACACAGCTATTCTCAAATCCAAATATTTCCATGATAACTCCTTCTGGAATGCCAAAAACAACAGACCCAAATCAGCTCAAGGATAGCCTTCACCGCAATTGCATTATCCAAATCCACCAAACAAACTCTAGCATATGGTCCACCCTTTAGTGCAATCTATGGCAATCCATTCACTCTCATCTGAACCTGCATGTCACTCAGCCTACTCTTCCTAAAAAAGTGGCTCATCTTTGGATCCCAACACTCAGACTTGGAACACATCCCTCATATCAAGCATCTTCAGTTATGAGGCTACCCAGGAAATCACCCAGCTTCAAACTATCCCTTGCAATGAAACGGACGTCATAAGATGGAAACCAGCAGTAAAAGGTATATGCACTGCTAAGGAGGCCTTCAAGCTTTTAAACTCAAATTTCCAGGTTCAATTATCAATGCAGGGATCCAAAAGCATTTCATCACAGGCTATGTACATCCTCAACAGAGCATGGAAACACAAGACACTGCAACCTTGTATCAAGACTTTTCTTTGGAGACTGATCAGACACGCAATAGCTGGTGAAAGGGCAGGAAGATACTCGACCAAAATAAGTACTGTACTACTTGTAATATCACTGAAAATGATGCACATTTGTTCTTTCACTGCACCTTTGCCAGGGCATTTTGGTTCTCTGCAAATCCTCCTATGTGTTCTTCCATACTATCAATTGAGCAGGATGAAGTACAGGAAATACTTCCAATGCTAGTAAACCAGCAAACCTCAGATGAACAGATGCAGGTCATAATCACCACTTTGTGGTACATGTGGAAAGCCAGGAATGACAAAAGGTTCAACAACAAAAGTTGGATGGTTTGGCAGGTTCATAATGCAGTGGCGACGGATATCAGTGCAATCTTGCTAACCAAGGCACAGGAAGAAGACCAAGGAACCATGGAACAACAGCCGCACCAAGATGATGATCTCAGTACACACAATCTCCAACCCACAAACGAAGGTATGAATCTATCAAATGTAGGTACCAAAAACACTAGGCTGCAAAACTACTGCAACTCAGCACAGATGATGAAAACCCAGGGAACAAGGGGCAACACTGCCCATCCACACAAGCAATAGCACCACACCGACACCACTACTATATAGGACTATGCTACTGGCAATTCTACCAGGAACAAGATGCTACTCGGATGTCTCAATCGACCCAGATCAAAACCTTCACTTACCAAGGATAGCTGGTCTTGGAGTGTTCATCACAAACAACCAGACACAGCCAACACAATCCATTTACATCCAGGGAAGAATCTCCAACGCCACTTCTGTGCTCATGGCTGAAGCAGCAGCACTTGCCTTAGCTGCAGTGGTGGCTTCATTGCTCAATCTTCGTCCACCCAATCAACAAATCAGGTTCCTTAACATGCATAAACGAGCTTTGGTGCCTCAACAAACAAAAGTGTTGTGTGCGCTCCATTCTGAATCTGAGCGTACAAGATTTGCTTGATGGGAGAGCAGACATTGTTTTGTATCAGTATATAACAGCATTAGACTTGCACAAGTGTATATGGAAATAAACTGTGAAAATTCTTGAGTTCACTAACCCAAACGGCACAACTGTAGCGCCGTTTAAACAGCCTGCAATCCTAGTATCCTACAACCTGATAAGAATCGAGCTGGACAGATAATTGTTTCTTTGGTTAATGTGTTAACCTGGAGCACATTTACTACTTTTCATGATGCTGGCATCATCTCAAGCCACTTCAGATAATTGTTTCTTTTCACCAAATCAGGTTCCTTAACATGTATAAACGAGCTTTGGTGCCTCAACAAACAAAAGGTATAGTCACAAACAAAAAAAATTCAATCTCATGCTGATTTACATCATTGGATGTTCCGTGTAAGTACATAAAAATATAGTTTCAGAGTTCAGGTGCTTCTATGTTTGTTCAATAAAAGAGAGAGCAATCTGGATCTACAATCTTTGGTACCATGAGTAATAATCACCTAAACGTTAATTGAATGCACAACAGAAACTCCTGATATTACTGCATAACAGCAAATAATCCCAAAAAGAAGAGGAGGGGGGGAGGGGGGACATCTGCTGTTGTATAGGATAATGTAACCTCATCTAGGCCCTGAAAGAATGGACTCAACCTGCGTAGTCACATCATCCCAACGTGTTGTTCGATGTTCGATTCGCCATCATTAGGTCTATATTTACAAGGTCCAAATCAAGCTCGGTTTCGACGCTCATTGTACCTTCAAGGATCTTGACCACCATGGACATGGAAGGCCTTCTATTGCTATCAACTTGCAAGCACCACATAGCTAGGTTCATGGTGCGGAGCACTTCATCTATATGGAATTCCATATCAGTGGAGCGTGGATCAATGAGGTTCATCAGCTGGTTGCCTTTGGCTTTCTCTTGCAGCATGCTGATGAGATGCTGGCTTTCTTCAGGCTGTGAGTAGTCCAAATTTCTTCTTCCACACAAGATTTCCATGATGACAATGCCAAAGCTATAGACGTCAACTTTTTCGGTGATGATAGATGTTAGCCACTCAGGGGCTAAATAACCCAGTGTACCTCTCAGTCTAGTCATTATAGTGCTCTGCTCACGATCAATTAGCTTGGCAAGCCCAAAGTCAGATACCTTAGCAGCAAACATCTCATCCAATAGGATGTTTTGTGGCTTGATGTCTAGATGAGCTATTGTTTGTCGGCAATCACTGTGAAGATAAGCTAATCCTCTTGCTACACCAGTGATGATCTTCAATCTGGTCTTCCAATCAAGTGGGCCCACTTGGTGCTTCACGAAAATCCACTTATCCAAAGATCCATTAGGCATGTACTCATAGACAAGAAGCCTATGTGATTTCTCAGCGCAAAATCCAACTAGATTCACCAGATGTATGTGGTTGATGCTTCCAACAGTCTGAACCTCCATTAAGAATTCCATTTCCCCCTGATTTATGCCATCCAATCTCTTCACAGCAACCTGCTTATCACCAATATGTCCCTCAAAAACAGACCCAGATCCTCCAACCCCAATTCTCCTTGAGAAATCTCCAGTTGCTGATTTCAAACTCTCAAAACAAAATCTTTTGGGCAGCCCTGGCAATTGATCAATAATGTCTGTCTTGTGATAGTTTTGCACTCCGTCTTCTTATGACAATGAGCATGGAGACAACAACTGAAGCAACAAAAGTTGAAGAACCAACAACCACAATGGCAATTTTTCCTTTAGATAGCATGGGTTTGTGCTCTTGAACTTTAATAAATGCATAAGAACTAAAATTTCTAGAGTAACTCTGTGCGCTGATGCTTATCATTGAGAAGATGTCAGATGCAAGAAAACAGAAACCAGAAGAACTGTTCGAGTGCAGGAAAAATGCAACCTTGCAAGAACAATCATTCAAGCACGATACTTTAACAGTGCTCTTCGTTTGTTGTCCAATTGTAGATAATATTGAAGCGAGTGGTGTTGGGAACGGCAAGAAACCTTGTCTTATGGGCTGACCCACATGATAGTGAATCTGTCAAGACGCAGCCATGATTAATCTCCCTGGGATTAATCAGTTTGAATAATCCGGATTGGCTGAGGCCTGCATCTGGGCAGCTGCACTGTCCATTTGAACAGACACCATATTCCCCACAAGCTAGAGGGTAAGAACAAGGATCAGCTATACCAAGAAGATCTGAGCTCACCCAACTACCATTTCCCCCCTGGTATAGCCTTAAGTGTCCATCCCAATCTAGCCTCACAAACTCCAGTCCATAGGCATTCATGGGAAATTGAATGAGATAATCTGGTCCGTCTGTTCCCCTGAATGAAGTGAAAACCTCCAGGCTTCCATTCTTGAGTGCTATGTATGCTGAAGTGTTTGCTGTGATATTTCACCAGTGGGACTTTGATAGTATGCTAGAGGAGTGTCAACTCCTGCAAATGCATACATGCCGTTGGAAAGTACTGTGAGATAGAACTTTCCTTTGGCCCAATTTGTAGCTGAGGTACTTGCTATGAGTTTCTGCCCCAAATGTAGCACCTGCCCAGTGACAAGGGTGTTAGTTGGGTGATCGGAGGACCTCCATACTTCCATATTTCTATGATCTAAGAGCACCAGATTGCCTGACCCAGTGAGATTCATGCCAACCACTGACTTGCCAGTGGTATTGGTGGACCAAACCAGTGTGCCATCTGCATCATACAGCACCAAGTCACCCAGTTCAGTAAGTTGAACAGTTGCATTCTCTTTGACTGGCCTGTCGTGGTTGGCAGACCAGACTACCTGGGGTGATTCCAAGTACAAAACAGCACCTATACTGAAGGCATTGACAATGAATATGGAAAAGATGTAGGCATTGCAAGTGGCTGTAAGTCCTGCACAAAAGAAGCCGCAGGCAAATAAAGGAACACTGTCCACAGATGACCCGACACTAATCCTGGCGGTGCCATAAGGATGAGATAAGATGAGACGCACAGAAAAATTATCATCTGGAAACCCATTGTGGAGAATAGATGGGTTGTTTTTCCATATGGTGCCGAGCTCAGCATTAGCTAGAAAGGATTTGGTCATGGCAGTGTTAGCGGGTTTGGAGTAGATAGTAATAAGGAGGGATAAGAGGAGCAATAAGAGCTTTGAATGATACATGGCTACAGAATATATCAAACCTGAAATGTCAGCTGTTTTTTTGGTATCAAGGAAGAACAGCTGAAAGGATTGTAGTTTCAGAAAGTTTGTACGTATGGATTGGAAGAAAGGTGGAATGATCAGAAGACATGGTAATCCACCTTTGTATTTCGTATGGTAGGATGATCGTGCATGTTATTTCAGCTGTGCTAGTCTCTTAGTGATTGGGGATTGGGTTGAGGGCATGAGGCCTAAGCAGTAAGGCACTTGGTGCCATTTTAATACCAGAGCAGATGAAAGAAGGATGCAAAGGGCTCTGGATTCTTCTTCGTTTCCACCCAACTGTCCATCAAACTACAGTTCGTTGTTTAGTCAAAGGGCCAACCTGGAATCAGCCATTATTCTTTCATTGGCTAGCTATATTTAGTTAATTTTTCTAATTCTCAATATTTTCTCTCTCGTGTTGCTGTTAAAGCACATTTAACTGAACAGACATTTGTTATCATCAAGAAACTGGTGTAGAGAGTTATTGAGAAATAAAATGATTAAAATACGCTGAAATGGTTAGTGAACTTTTGCATTTTACAATAAAATTTTAAAATGTGCTTAGGAAGTTTGGAGCTGTCCTCCTAATATTGGCCTCATTGTAGCATCAATCCTTCGTTTTGGCAAACTATGTATGAGCATGCAGGGGCATAGGATGGCTAAGATCAAGGGCCGACTCTGTTTTCTAAGGGTTGTTTAGGTATATGTCACTATTAAGTTGTCAGTTTTGGAGTATGGCACTGCAGATTTTCAGAATGATTATACACTACTGCTAGGTTTGTCCACACATAATCAGGCACCGGCATCATCCTTCAGAAGCATATATCACACTACTGTACTCGTCTGACCACAAGCTGTTGACTGGTAGCTGTATTGCATTGAAGATAATAGCATGTGAGTGGTGGCACCAAGCAATTTCATAGTGACAACATAACCTACACAGTTGACTAATTCAACCAAATGGCAAGGAATGAAGGGAACAGTGATGAATGCAGCACTCCTTCCCTTGTACTAGTACCTTTATAGGTCTCAGCTTTAATCAAGACAAAATTGCTACTGTGCCAGTGCCAGTGTATAGTAACGCGATGGAGGCTTTGTTTTATTAAGAACATACAATGTTCCTGGCTAGGGTGCATAACCATTCCACAGTTCAACACGGACCACACCCACCGCTTGACTGCTCCAAGCATATGCCATTTGCAACTATGGCACGCGATGGAACAACTGTAATGCATTTTATTATTTAGAAAATGGAACGCGGGGAGAGAAATTTAGGTCTGGCTTGTTCAAAGGAGGTGACTACTCCTTTCCTATCCCTTGGACTTTTCTAATGTACAGCTCAATGCTCACAAGTCACAACCACATCCTGGTGTATTGTACAGCTCAACCCTCAGAAAACCTCATTCTGATATCCTTTTCAATGGGCTAGCCTTTTCCTATCTAGTACTTGCAATCAGTTAAGTGTACAAACAAGGCTAGTGGTTATCTCAATCCGCTGTTCATCACTAGGCTCCTAATCAGTATATCAGCAAGAAGGCAGCCCCTAGTCTGATTCTACGAATCCGGCTTGCCATCAAATCAGCGTATAGAACATTCATATGATCACCAAACACCACACGACCAGCCCATCACCCATGGTGCTCGTTAACCAGCACAAGGGCATGGCAAGATGAATGGGTGAACCGTGGCAGCGCAGTGATGCCACCAGGATATCAGATTATGGTGGATCTGTAATATTACCAATAGGGGAAGGGGATAGGAAGAGGGGTGGGGGGCGGCAAAGCATACCGTCATTAGGCCTAACAACGAGGCCACAGCATCATCACTGGCACATTTCGTCGAACAGGTGGCGAGCAGAGATGGCAGCCGTGGATTTGGCTTCAAGGTTCCGGCTGGAAGAAGGCTACTCGGAAGCCTGTGCCTTTGCCGATGTACAGATACGTACGCGCTCCAGCCATTCACATCCGGGCAGGGCCCCGACCTTCCGCTCTCCGCAGTCCGCACGTCAGGTCGCAACTCCAGTCTCCAGAGTTGCCACTGCTGCTTCGTGGTCTTTCGACGAGTAGACGGCACTCTGTTGCACGTTGCTTTTCAGTGTTTTCACTGGATGCTAAATGCCACGACGAACTAACTCATATATAAAGTACACAGAAAGTAGTAGACATCAATGGTCCCATGGTCTAGCGGTTAGGACATTGGACTCTGAATCCAGTAACCCGAGTTCAAATCTCGGTGGGACCTGTTTTTGTATATATTTCCATTTTTTTCTTTTGCATAACTTGCATTTTTTTTTCTTTTGCATAACCTGTAGGAGCAGTAGATTTAATGATTTGTATATACTGGCAAATATGCCCGTGCGTTGCAATGGGAGAAAAAAAAACTATCAAAAGTTCAATGAAAACGATAATGAGAATGTTACAGTTGTATTTATTTTTTACACTTTCCATAAAATTATTAAGAAATAGTTTATTTATTTTATGATGATCATGACATCAATGATATAAGTTATTAATATTAACAATAATATGATAGTGTCTATTATGTCTGTTTCAACAGAAAATATAATCTTGATAGATATTTTTTTCTTACTTCATAAGGCATATAAATATTTAGTGTTAAATATACCATAATTTTAGTTTTCATACTACCATTGTGTTGGTAGAGTTACATATCTAGGTACGTGACTTTTATTGAGGACCCATAAAATATGTAAGTCTATTATCTGATCCAAGTCGGTCGGAGTTTCGTGTCAAGGATTAGTCTATATGCTCATGAATATAATAGAGATCTCTCTCATTTCCACATCAAGAATTGCATTGGTATATGCATACAGCTTGGAGATAGATTTATTTTTATTAGACCGGATAACAAACTACTTAAAATTTCAGTTCATCGTTTGATTAGTTCGACTATCGTTTCATTCAAATTCTAATAAAAATAAAATTTATTCCTTATTTTTTTGAACGCAAAAATTTATTCCTTATCAAAACTACATTAACATTTAATGGTCAAAATATTTGTTTATTAGGAAAAATTTAAGGGTTCAAACGCACTTGCTTTTTATATTTATGAGAAAAAAAACATTAGATATTGTACTCTAGAAAAGAGAAAAGAAAAAAAGGTTCGGAACGGAAAGGAGAAAATCAAGTGGATGCTCACATAAAAGCGGATGAAAGGGACATGAGATAAAAAAAATGGACGCTCCAGGGAAAAGCGGGCAGAAGAAAAGAAAAAAAACGGAGGTGGAAACTGGACGGGCAGAAACAGGAAAAAAAAATAACAGACTCGGTTACAGTCTTTTTCTTTTAGAACGAGTCGGTTACAGTCTTTCGGATGCGGCACCATTACCTGGCTGGTTTAGGCTGGACCAAAAATCTAATTGGGATAGAAATTTTGGTGCTTTAGTATTAGGGGTATGCACCAGCAAATGTGCCCGTACGTTATAACGAGAGAAAAAAAAACTACATAAACAGAAACGAAGACGTGAGTGTGTTACATATTTATATTTTATTATTTTTATGGAATGTTAAAGCTAATTTTTATAATGACTATAACGTTCATAATATAATATGAGTTAATATTGGTAATAATATAATGATATACCCTTTCTTTCATCCGTCGAAAAAGCCTATAATTAATATTATTTGTCCATAAAAAACTCTCGTTCGTTGTCCAAATCCGAGCAAGAATCCGCATATCTCCACGAAACTGTATAGAAGAAACTACCGCCTCTTCCCTTTCGGTTTAACACCAAACTCTGAAGCAACCAGATGAAATATAATCCTAAACCAATTTGACTCTATCGATCAAAGCCTATCTCGTGAACAAGAGCATGGAAGGCACGGAGTTGTATACTGTGTTTGACCGTATTCGTATCCATGTACTATTGGCCAATGATTTGGCCCCAGTTATTATGTAACGGAGATCTCCTCCATGTTCAAAAAAAAAACAATTGAATTGAATGCACACATAAGTTCGCTAGCTTGTACGGAAGTTGGCCTTTAGTTTTTTAGTTTTAGACCGTCTTTGGTTCGGACTCCGCATCATTGGTCTGTTTGTTTGGCGGATAAGCTATAGCTGAAAATATCGTCGGCTGGATTTATTGTGAGAGAAAAATAATATTTGTTGGCTGAAAAAATACGGTTTATAAATTCAGCGAACAAGGCGACTGTACATTGCATCCTAATTATCTTGGGGATTGGATTACACACTGTACCTGGACACACTCATGTAACTCGTACGCTTGTCATAGAGGATCAGACTCTCTCATATCTGGATACGTTGTTTTGTTCTAACTTATATAAAGATTGCATGTAGTGATCAGCAATACAAATGCTTTGTAGCCGGCTGATAAGTCGGCTAAAGTTGTTTTGTTGTGAGAGAAAAATACTGTAAATTTTAGCTGATAAATCAACTGATAAGTTTAAGCAAAAGGCCCAAGATTATGTACAGATATGTGTTCAACGTCGTCGCCATGCAAATGCTAGACTTGAGCTCCTAAGTGCAAATAAACAATTGATGACCAAATATTACATTTTATACTTGGTCAAACACACATGACGGCCGACGCTGCTGTATGTCCCTAAAGTTATTGGTGCTGCTATTTGTTGGTGCAGGTGCCCAAGTGCTGAACGCAAGCAAGCTTTGCCCAAGCTAGCTGCCTCTATGGACATGACAGTATGACATAAAGGGCCTACAGCTAGTAGCCAGCGACGCGCGCAAGGAAAACGTATGTGGATCCATAACGGACTCTTTTTCTTTTCCTTTTTTGGTAGGACACGGGTGACCGAGAAGTAATATGATAACGTGACCGAGACGAAATCTTATTGCCAGCCGCTAGGCTTGGAAGAGTAACAGCGGGGAAGATGGACGAAAAGAAACGCCGAAGTTTTGCCTTTTTATTATTAGGGATATATTTCTATTTTTTTTTTTTTTGCATAACTTGTAGGAGCAGTAGATTTCTAGGTTAGCTGGCATTACCGAACTACCTTTTACACAACTTGTAGTAGATTTCTGGGGTAGCTGGAATCATCGGATATAGGAGATTTTGTAAAGGTCTCTCTTCGTCGATTTCTGGATAGGTGGAAATCATCGACAAGGAGAATTTTGCAAAGGTTACTCCGTAATTTGATGTTTTAGAATTTACTAGTTTTATATTTTATTTTGCACAACTTGTGGATTTCTTGGGTAGTGGAATCACTGAATTTGCCAGTTTGTCACAATGAGCAAAGTCACTTCTACACGGGGCACAGTATCGTCGAACGATCTACCGGGGTTCAACATTACCATCCAACGTGTGCCCTGGCGATATTTTTTTCATCACGTTTCAAATCCAGTCTCGACCAATCAAACTTTTTGAGATCCTTAACTTACTTCAATGGGGCCACTTACCATCATGATCTTGACTAAGAGTAGCCTTTTGTGCATCCAAATGCTCTGGCTTAGACTTCCTCAAGATGGATGTCTTGGACTTCCCCTTAATAGTATGACCAAAGAAAAAACAAAGCCCTGCTACACATTATAGTGAAATTGAATGTTGTTAAGCATCAAGCCTACATTCATCCTATAGTATCCTTAGTCTTCACAAATATCCTTTGTGCCATATAGTAAAGCATCACACCATATCTTTAGGGCCAAGACACTTGTGGCCAACCAACTTCGGACTAACCCAAATGTGATCACCGCTATAAAACACACATTAGTCACAACACTTGTGTTCATTAGTCACCAAAACCCCAAATCACAAAATCGAGGCCTAGAAGCGTTCAACAGCGCAAGGGTGTAGTGCTTCTTCTACCCACGATGGTGACACCTCCCTTCCTACCGCCACTGCGTTTCCTCTCCTCTGTTAGGTGCTCCCCTCCTCCTTCCGGGACCCATCCTAGTGGAGCCAATACGTCGTGTAGCACTCGAAGCCGCCATACCCACGCTCTGACCGGTGTTCCGTCTCCCTTCTCCGTGCACCTAAAAGCCCAAGTTTGATTTTGACAATTGAGTGACAACTAGTGGACCAACAATGCTTTCATGTAGATGATTGAGCTAGGTCCACATGTTGAAGTTGAGCAAGGCTAGGAGATGGTGGAGATGATGATCATGACAACGAAGCATGTGCTCAGCCTTGAAGTGAAGAAGGTGATGAAATGGAAAGCAAGCCCAAAGACAAAGGTATATCAATAGGGCTTTGCTTTTGCCTGCAAAGGTACAATAGAGTGCACGGTCAGATTTTGGATTGATAGTTATACTATTAAGAGGGGAGATCTAAAGTGATTATGGTTGTCTAGTACCACTAGGTGATGACATTCTTTACATATGCATTGGACCTAGTGATGTGGTGAGGAAGCAAGCGAAAATGTTTTGAAAATAATTTGAAAATGCTAACTTAGTGCTTAAAGGTGAAGGTGTTCAATGGAACAAATTTGAAGTTGGCACACTTGTGAAAACGGTTGAAAAGAGACACTGGTGCAATGTTTTTATACTCACCAGATCTCTCTGGTAAGGACATTGGAGCTTCCGCTGGGCACTGTTCACTATTTGCTTTCAGGTGCAGACACCTTAAGGCCCTGTTTGGTTCCTTGGGACTATAGACTAGATACTACATTCTAGTCCCTTTTAGTCCCTAAATTGCTAAAGAGATGGACTAAAAAGAGGGACTAGTAGTCTCTAGTCTAGTAGTCCTTTGAGAGGTGCTACTTGGGACTACTAGCCCAAATGGACAGACCATGCCCCTCAATTATTGTCGATCCCCACCGTCTCTCTCTCCTCCCTTGCGCTGCTGCCTGCCATAGAGGCATCGATGCGCCCGATCCGCGCGCCGCAGGAGGCGCTCGCCACGGCCTCGAGCCTCCGCTCCTCCACCGCGCCACTGGGGAGAGGCTGCATCCACGCCGGCGAGGGGCGGCCTTGCCGCTCTGCATCCACGTAGGGGAGGGGCACCGCGCCGCTGGGAGAGGCTGCATCCGCGCCGACGAGGGGTGGCCTCGCCGGTCTGCATCTGCACTGGGGATGGGCGTCCCCGTCGGGCTGCATGCTCGCCGGGGAGGGGCATCCGCGCCGGGGAGAGGCGGCCTCACCGATCTGCATCCGCACCGGGGATGGGTGTCCCCGTCAGGCTGCATCCTCGCCGGTGCCGACCAGCGCTAGGCTCGGTCCAAAGGAAGAAGAAGAGCATTTTAGTATTTGTTCAACAGGTTTTATGGCTTTTAGTCTCCTCTAGTCCCTAGAACCAAATAGGATAGGAGACTAAAGTTTAGTCCCTATTTTAATCTCTAGTCTATTGTCTCTTGAACCAAACATGCCCTAACATCTGGTGCTCACCGAAGTGATGGCACTGGAGCTTGCATACAATGAATGGTCCCGCTCAGCGCAGGCTGTCAATCACCAGAGACGTCCGATGTGGGGATCGAAGGCCTTAGCAGTATTGAGTTTCCAGTACTCACTTGATAAGTCTGGTATGTGCACCAGAGTGCACACTGGACCCAGTCCTATGAATATGTTTTCAGCCTAGTTTGGGGAGTTGTGCTCACCGGAGTTGTCCGGTGTTTCCACCGGAGTACTCGTCGCATTGAAAGTGATGTTTTTTATTTTAGATTTCTTGTTTGACCGTTCGTTTTATTAAAAAAATTTATATAAATATATTTTTTATCTTATTATGACTTACGAATGCTCAAATAAGAAATCTAAAAAGTTAAAAACGACGCTTTCGAGGGAGTAAGCACCTGTCTGGTTTTCCCCGCCTTCCTTGCCTACTGTAGCCTCCCATCGACTGTAACCGTGCCTAGCCGCTCACTGGGCGGTTGTGGCTGAGGCTGACGACACGTTTAGGATAGGGCGTGAAGAAAGCTTTGTTTCTTTTTGGACTGGTTGTGGCCCAAGGCTGACGAGGCGTGAGGAAATCTTTGTTTTTTTGGGCCGGTTGTGGCCCGAGGCTAATGACTGGTTTAGGTTGGCACATGAGGAAATCTTGTTTAAATTTTTTGAGCAACAAAAAAATTGCAAACTATTGAAAAAAAAGACAACAACTTATCTTGCTACTCATTTTGTAGACTTGATATAATTAATAATTTGGCATTTCTTAAAAGAAACTCTTGGAAATATTCTAAGCTTCGATTAGTCAATAATACTATGTGGACCAAAAAGTACTTTCTAAAAAAAACAAGGGTTAATTGCCATGTTCGCTTGACTGATAAGCCATCGCTGAAATTACTGTTGGCTGATTTATTGTGAGAGAAAAATACTATTCGTTGACTGAAAAAGTACGGATTATAAGCCAAATGAACCGGACGAATACCACATGGACCAAAAAGTACTTTCTAGAAAAACAATCGTATAATTACAGGATTCATCCGCATTGGAGATGCCTCCGAGAATCACGATACAATGATTCGTGTCCAATTGGCAAATGAAAAAGCAATGTACTACGTATTGTGACTACATCATACAATCATTTGGACCTTGCATATACAGTCCTCAGCTTCTCATCGTTCAAAGAGCAGTACAGTATTGGCTCTTTGTTGTAGTATGTATATTGCAGAAGAAATCCAAGATTCAGCAGCAGAACATTTGCAGCATTATTCAGATGTTTCGTCCGTAGGCAGCATTGCACGTCCCCACCATCGGCAGCAGCCGCTGAGCACCTGCAACCACAAGACCAGGATGAGTGCTATGGCGGTGAACAAAAGCCCAGCCGCCCTGTTGCAGTGCAACGCATGTCACGCCGAGAGAGCGAGAGAGATTGAGCGGCACGCACCTTCCTCCGCTTCCGGCGCCACCGCCGTCGCGGCCGTCGGCCCCGGCGCCCGGCCGCCGGGGACTGCGCGAGCAGCATGACCTCGGGGCGCAGCACGAGCGGCGACCAGAGCCCGCTGCGGTCGTAGTCGAAGTCGAACGCGCTGGTGTCCGCGAACTTGCCGAGGAGCCCGTCCGAGACGTCCCTCGGCACCAGCTGCACCAGGAAGAAGTCGTCGTCGCCGGCGATCGTCATGGGCGACCACGGATCCTCCGGAGCGGAGCAGCTCACGATCTCGGGCGACGACGCCGACGCCGACGCCGGCATTATGAATTGCGCTGATGATCAGAAAGGAAATGGAATCACTACGAACTTGCACCGGCGGGTGGGCTGTTGCGGTTGCGGTATAGCAGCAGGGTAATATATCTAGCATCTCTCGTTTTCCGCGGGGGAAAGCATGGAGTGGAGGATCTGCGGCAGATCGCGCGGTGGTTGAAGGGAAAAGGACCGGCAGGCTGAGGCTCCATTCGACCCCTCCCTCCGTCCGGCCTGCAAGGAAGCAGCTGTGGGGAAGCCTGCTGCCTGCTGCCTGCTTGCATCTGTGCATTGCATGATTGATCCGTGTCGCTCATGGGGCGGGGCCACTCCGAGGCCACCTCTTGCTTTCTTTATTGCTGTCTCACGTTCCAGTGTCCTCTCTCACCTCACCTCGCTCCATCGACCAACCAGCCACCTCCGCGTCATGTGAGAGTTCTAAAGACTGCCGCTGATGGCGATAGGGAGGTGACGATGAAGCCTCCATCACATTCACATCTATACTAGCTAGCAGGGAGATCGATCGAGTGCATTGATTCAAGGATATAGCAATAGCATGGGCACTACACGCTTAATGGCAGCCACGTTAATCGGTTAATGACAACGAATAATCAATGTGAGCAGTTTCAAGTCCTCTCATCTGATCCCTAGCTGGCCAAACTACGTACTACACGTCGCCATGTTCTTGCACTGAATGAATGAAATTCCTTCCTTGGCAATTATGAGCTGCCTTTCGGAGCAGAGCGGATCTCGATCCAGGCCGGCGGGCCCGCGGGCTTTAAGCTAGGTGTTCACCTCACCGGGACGTATAGCAACAGTCAAGCCGAGCCTTTTTGCATTGGTGTGGTATCAACCATCTACTGGTAGGGACATGCGCCCTGTTCTCTTGAATATACACAATGAAACAGTATCAGCCGCGGCCGGTCCTGTTCGGCAGGACTAAAAAAATACTGTTCCAGCTGATTGTTATGAAAGAAAAATACTGTTCTAACAGAATATGAACAGTGATTTTCGTGAGTGACGAAACAAGCCAGCCGACTGGCTTCCAGCCGAACACGCCCATCGGGAGCCTGAGCCACCGCGACTGCCATCGGAGCGGACAGGCTAATCAACGATCATCTCACGTCGTCCTTTTCCGGGTCGATCACTCTGCACCCGGGATGGATGGAGAATAATGCATGTTCTGATGTGATGTGACTCGTTAGATCCGAGATTCAATCGGGATGAACAGGGTTTACGTTATTAAAAAAAAAAATAACCCGACTCGGATGAACAGGGGAAAATCGTTGGTACTGTGTAATGTTATCGCAAACGAACTGTATTCTTATGGTTCAACCTAGCTAGCTACTGTGATAGGCCAGTACATACGCCGCTGGCTTCTAGGACAAGTTTAAAACCTTAGGCATCAAGCTCCCTTGTTATGTCCCAGGTGGACCTGGACAAAGGACTTGCATTGCTGGAGAACTATTTCTCCAATGAGGAGGCAGGGGAGGCATAATCTTGTGTGGTATGTGGTCGCTGTGAAATAGCATTAACGATCAGAGACTCCCATTGATCCAAAGTTGGCGGTGGACTGGGCACTGGAGGCTTGCTTTCATCTATCTACCACCACCTGATCGGTGGGTACTAGGTAGCGAGAGTCGGAATAGCTAGGCAATGAGATGCCGACCACCGAAACAAAGGACCATGAAGACTAACACGGATATGGGGCTGTTTGGATGCCGCCCTCGCCTAGACGTGCCTTCTAGGCAAGCGATTCCTGCCCTAGGCGAACGCCTGAGGACGCTGCCCGGGAGGCAGCATCAAAACAGGCCCATGGTGCCTTTCGGCATGAAACCTTCACGGGAGCTACCGAGCTCGTTGTGGTACGCAGCAGCGATGGCAATTTCCGGGCGGCATCTGCAAGACGGATCCATTTAGTTTTCTCAACACTATTGGCATAAGCGGAGGCGTTTACGGGATGCTGTTCGCTTAATCCCGGAAGGAACATGTCGGGTTCATAAACCCGGGTCCCCAATGGACCCGCTTCTCTGCAAAACCCGCCCAGCAGGCGGCGCAGCGACAACACGCGTCTGGGCCGGTCCAGATACATAATGACACGCCCGGGACAACAATCCGGTCCCCGACATTAGGGCCTGGCCAAGGTGGAACCGTGGTCCGACTCGACCTCTTTCTTCTACCGAGGAAACGTCGGACCTCTGCTCACTGCCCTTTCCCGACCGACACGGTCGGGGTCAACTGGGAACGACCGACCGGGACGTCCGCTCGGTGAGGGCCCTGGGATCAGGCAGGAGAAGATAAGGTAAGGCGCTCAAGTCAACCACAATACCGAGGACCGTACCCTGCCATGTCCTGCACATCTGCTGGACGGTGCCACCAGACCATGCCAGATGGGCACTATGCAACCTTCCAGACATGTCAGAGCACAAACAGTATTGTAGGCGCCGACGTTTGCCGTACTAGGCGAACACAGTAGAGCCTGCCGGATGCGTCTGGACATAAACAATATTGTGGGCGCCGATGACCGTCTCATACCCGACAGCGTGGGCAACAAGACTAGGTAGCACACGTATATATTCTCTCTCACTCACTTATAAGGCCATCCCCCTCAACTATAAAAGGGGATAAGCTCTCTCCTAAAAGCTGGCTAGCTCTTAGATGACTCGAGGACTCGACGACCTGAGAACTCGAACAGCTCAATAGCCCTAGAACTTGATAGCTACACAGAGCATACGCTCCAATACTTAGCGCACGTTAGAGCACCCATCACTCTCGGCCATTCGGTTCACAGTCCGACCGGGCCTTTAATACCCCCTTTCTCATTCCTACTCGTTTGTAACCCCACAGCAAACTTCGAGCACTTAGGCTCAGGAATAGAGTCATCGACCGACTAAAATTAGACGTAGGGCACGTTTCCTGAACCAGTATAAATTCTGTGTCATCGCGAGCTAGGCCACATCCGATCACAACGCACGGCAAAATAACAAATATTTACTTGTTGGTCACTTTTCGCACCGACAGTTGGCGCCGTCCGTGGGGAGGACGCCGTGCGTTCACACTTTTGGTCATCGGATGACCCACCTTTCCACCATCTTCAGCATGGCGGGCTCAAGCGATACAATTCGCTTCGGCTCGCTGGAGTTCCCCACAATCCCACCTGTTGGGATGTGGGTTCCTCCCGTCTTCACGCCGCTCCAAACTTTCCTCTTTGAAAGCCTGGACTTCATCGCCGACCAGCTCGGCGTACTCCACCTCCTCGAGGAGGCGTTCGTCCTGGCGTCCACTGGAGGAGGAGCGCCCTCCATTGGCCCCGGGCCACTTGACGACCTCAATGTCGAGACACTCACGCTCCGCCTCGAGCCCATGCTGGGCTCAAACCTCACAGTAAGTAATGTACATATTGTTCTTTACTCACTATTTAACACCTTCAGCCGACTCTCCGGAGGGACCCCGTTGTCCCCATCGCGACCGCCGTGCGACCGGTTCCCCTACGGCTTCGCATCTCTCGTGGACACATGCGCGCGGGGGCTCCAAAGGATGTTGACGTCGCCCCCTCTCAATCCGAGTTCGTGGGGATGGCGGGCTATGCTCCCGCCTCTTTTCACGACCTCATCGATGACGAGGTCGAAAGCGACGGCTCTAGCATCGGCGATGTCGTGGCACCTGGCCACCCTGTGTCCCAGGAGTGTGCTATGGCGGACGTCCCGGGACAGCCACCGGTGGTAATGGAGTGTATGCAGACCCACACCCCTCCGGACCCCCGTGCGAAGGCCCTGGCGCGTGCGCAGGAGCACGGCAAGGAGTTATGACAAAGACTACAGAGCCAGCCGCCACCTGTGCTAGCACGCTCGGTGCAGCACGCTATGCCACGTTCGCATAACCCGGTGAGTGGCGCTCGGGGTCACGCCCGTCAGGTCTAGCGTAACATCCTGGACGGAGGGAACGACCCCCTCAGTTCGCTCGGGCAGGCTAGAACATCGCTGCTGCGGCGATGCTTCTGCGCGGCCTCCCCGAGCCTGTCGAGCCCTAGGAACAGGCAATCCACCAGAACCTCCAAGCGCTGGTGGAAACCGCTGCCGTTCAACAGGCGGAGAGCTCCGCGTCGCGACACTGGCTCGCGGCCTCTTGCCCAACCGGAGGACTAGGGCCGCACCAGTCGAATCACTCTGTCCACTCACCACTGTTGTTGCCGGGCGTGGGGCAGGAAGCCGCGGTTGCACCGCGGCCTGACCCAGCGCTCGCTCCACAATGACCACCTGTGTGCGAATGGCTCGGGCCGAACCGTGACGCTCGTAGCGTCATCAACAATTGGCGCCACACCCGACATGATGATGACGTCCATCGAGTGGCGGCGAGAGCAGGCGGCGTGGGCCCCCGCCTGACCATCGAGGAGTGTAGGGACACGCACCCCAGGCATGGTGGCCGACCAAACGACCGAAGCCCCAGCCCAGATGGCCTGGGGCCATGGGCCTTTGGTCGTCGCATACAGAAAGTATCGTTCCCACAACGCTTCCGACCGCCCACCAACGTTGCCAGATACACCGGGGAGACAAACCCCGGTACATGGCTCGAAGACTTCTGGCTCGTCTATCGAGCCAGAGGAGTGGATGATGACTACTTCATCATCTAGTACCTCCCCATCTGCGTGGGGGAGCATGTTCAAGCATGGCTCAAATTCCTTCCACCCGATAGCATCCACGACTGGGCGGATCTCAAGAGGGTCTTCGTCAGAAATTTCTAGGGGACGTATGCCCAACAAGTCCCTATGGGATTACATCTGCAAGTTCTCAAAGCAGTGCAACTCACTTCCTGATGTCGCTGACGCGGACGTCATCAACGCATTCCTCTCCGGGACAACCTGCAAGTCCTTGATCCACAAGCTCGGCTGTGTGAAGCCCTGTACCACTCGCGACCTGCTTGACATCGCCACGAACCACGCC